AGGCATTGGCCGCAGATCGAGTGTGCGAAAATCGCTCACTCCCGCTGGCCCCTGCCTCGCACCCGCCCCCCGCTCAGCTGCCTTTTCGTCAGCCTCTCTTGCCTCTTGGTGCTTCTCGTTTCGTTCGATCTCTAGCTGCCGCCCCAGGTCGAGAGGTTTCGGGCGCCGTGCCAGGCACGGCGAACCTCCTTCGGTGCGGTCAGACACGCGCGCAGGCCCTGCCCGCGCATCGGACAAGCCAGGCAGTTCCATCTTCCCCACACTCCCTGGGTATAGGTCTGCTGGCGGGAACGTAATTCGCACCGCGGCGATGAGGTAGGCATGGGGCACAGGTCGAGCGCGCGAAAATCGTGCACCCCCGCTGGCCCCTGCCTCGCACACGCCCGTTAAGCTGCTCTTTAGGCTTGTTGCAGGCTATCTCACCTGCTCCCCTCGTCGATCAGCCTCCTCTTGCCTTTTCCCTACTCCTGTTGCGCTGCGCTGCGCCTTGAGCGCCTTCCGACGATATGGGGGTGGCGCGGGCTAGGGGCTAGGTGACGGGGGCGGGCAGTCTCACCAAACCTTGGCGCCCGTGCTGCTCGATACCGCGCGTTTCTGCTAGCAGCTAGTGAGTGCCGCACCAACCTGACCGTCTCCTCGGCGAATCGGAGCACAAACCAAAATCTCCGCCTTTTCCTCCTCCTCCTTTTTCTCCCTCCTCCTTCCCCTCTTTTCCTTCTCATATTATCCTCTTGTCATCCTCCCTCTTCTGGAGACGACCGAAGACGAGCAGATGCTATGTTATTTGTTCCCAACCATCCTGTGGTGTTGGGTCCTCGTTTTGAAGAGAGCGCCCTGCGTCCCTCTCTCCCTCCCTCGCGCCTCCTCCTCCCGCTCCTCCTCTCCCCTTCTCCCTCCTCCATCGTCATCATCATCACCATCACCTTCACTATCGTCATCATCATCAGCAGCATCATCATCAGGGCCACCCTTTCATGCCGTAATCTTCATGCATCCGTCCCCCCATCCATGTCGGCACACCCCTCAAACGCTTCCCGGCCCCATAGGGACCCAAGGTCCCAGTGCCGGAACTCGCATGCGGTCCCCCCCCCAGGGCAGCGCTTCGTGGCCCCATAGGGAGCTCCACCGAAGGTCCCAGCGGTGGAGGTCGCATGCGGTTTCCCCCACCCAGCGGTTCGTGGCCCCATAAGGAGCTCCACCGAAGGTCCCAGTGGTGGAGCTCGCATGCGGTTCCCCCCCCCCCCTCTCCCCCCGCACAGCGCTTCGTGGCCACATAGGGAGCTCCACTGAAAGTCCCACTTGCGGAACTCGCATGCGGTTCCCCCGCCCAGTACAGCGCTTCGTGGCCCCAAAGGCAGCCCCACCGAAGGTCCCAGTGGCTGACCTGGCGTGCGGTTCCCCCACCCAGCACAGCGCTTCGTGGCCCTATAAGGGAGCTCCACCGAAGGCCCCAGTGGCTGGAACTCGCGTGCGGTTCCCCCACCCAGTACAGCGTTTCGGGACCCCATAGGGAACTCCACCGAAGGCCCTTGTGGCGGAACTCGCATGCGGCCAGCCCCCCCCAGCCCAGAACAGCGCTTCGTGGCCTCATAGGGAACTCCACCGAAGGTCCCAGTTGCGGAACTCGCATGCGGTTCTCCCACCCAGTACAGCTTTTCATGGCCCCATGGGGAACTCCACCGAAGGTCCCAGTGGCGGAGCTCGCATGCGGTTCATAGGTGGTTCCATCGAAGGCCACAGCGGTTGCACTCGCATGCGTCTACCACTTCCACTACAGCACTTCGGGGCTCCATAGGGAGTTCCACCAGAGGCCCCAGTGGCGGAACTCGCATGCGCCTCCCCGGACCAGTACAGCGTTTCGTGGCCTCATAGGGAGCTCCACCGAAGGCCCCAGTGGTGGAGCTCGCATGCGTTTCCCCCGCCAAGTGCAGCGCTTCGTGGTCACATAGGGAGCGCCGCCGAAGACGATATTCACGATTGGGGCATGCAGAGCTGCATACGGTTGTGTCCTTCGCCTGGCAAATTTTACTTAGGATCCTGCGGGGCGTCCGAAGATTGAAGGGCGAAGGCTTCATCCTCTTCCTCTTCCTCCCCCTCCTCCTCCCCTTCCTTCGTGTCTTCATCCTCCTTCTTGTCTTGTCCTCCTCCTCCTTTCTCCCTCTTTTTCCTCATCTTCTCCTGTTGTCCTCCTCCTCCTTCTAAAGGCGACCAAAGATGCCGCCGATAAGCAAAATGGGAGGCACGCGGATGGGGATGGGCATTGAAACAACGCAGTCTTTTCCAGCTTTCCCGGTTTTCCAGGAGACTACCCTTTGAAATCACATTGTATGTTTCCAGCTTTCCCAGCTTTTGTGTTCCGACTGTTGCCAGATACTATCATTTGAGACCGTTGTGTTTTCCAGTTTTTCCCGCTCTTCCCAGGGACTGACCCTTTGAACAGCGCTGTGTTTTCCAGCGTTTCCAGCTTTTCCTAGAGACTGACCGTTCACACGCGCTGTGTGGCTCCAGCTTTTCCCAGACGCTGACCATTTAAAAACGCTGTGTGTTTCCAGCTTCTCCAGCCTTTCCAGCTTTCTCCAGAGACTACGCAGGGTAGTGCCTGGGAAAAGCGGTACAAGTCGGAACAGCCAGGAAACAGAGCGTTTGGTTCAATTGTTTTTTCTTGGGAAAAGTTGGAAAACACCGCGATGTTCAAGAGGTGGTCTTTGGAAAACGCTGGAGCAGCTGGAACATTTGGAAAACACATCGTACTGGGAAAAGCTGGAAAACACCACGTGTTTCAACGGTCAGTGTCTGAGAAAAGTGTGAAAAGCTGGAAAAGCAGGACAACACTACGTTTTTCAAAGGGTAGCCAGGCAAAGCTGGAGCAGCTGCACAACACAGCGTTTTTTCAACGGTCAGTCTTTGGGGAAGGCTCGAAAAGTTGGAAACCACAGCTGCTCTCAAAGGGTAGTCGTTGGAAATCTCGGAAAGCTGGAGAAGCTAGAAACCACCGCGTTGTTCAACGGTCAATCTCTGGGAAAAGCTGGAAAAGCTCGAAGCACAACGTTTTTCAAGGGGTAGTCCCTGGGAAAAGCTGGAAGAGCTGGAACGCACAGCGTTGTTCAACGGTCCGTCTATGGGAAAGGCTGGAAGAGCTGAAAATCACGTTGTTTTTCAATGGTCAGGCTTTGGGAACGGCTGGATCAGCTGGAAACCACAAGCGTGTTTCAACGGTCAGTCTCTGGGAAACGCTGGGGAAGCTAGAAAATTGTCAGCAAGAGAGAGAGAGAGAGAGAGAGAGGGATAGAGAGCGAGCGAGAGAGAGAGAGAGAGGGAGAATACGGAGGAGAAGCAGTCGAGGCTGACAAAGAATCTGTATGATGACAGGGGACGACTATATTCAGATATTTATGTATGTATGTGCGCATGTGCGCAGATATGTGCATATGTCTCGATACTTCTTTGCAATCGGCAGATCCACAGGATATCTGGGGGGTGCCGAGGAACAGTAGAGGAAGGAGCAAACGAAACGCTGACATGAATGAGGGCACGGTATTCCACGCTGGATCTTTCGGATAAGCCTTTTGTTATCGGTTGTCATCCCAACACATGTGCACCCGTTTGATGCTCGTCAACGTGGGCGGTAGGTGGTAGATTGCTTTGGAGTGCAATGGTATTTGTTTGTTGGGGGGACTTTCGTGACAATGAACACATTGCTCGTTCGTAGAGGTGTTCGGGCCACCTATGGTGCTATGCTACCATGTGTCGGCTACTTGTTTGCTGCAGCGACGCAGCGGCCACCATTTGCGTATGTACGTAAGAACAGCACAACAACGACCAAGAGCAGCGAGGTGGAGGAGAAGGAGGGATGGGAAGGGGGGATGAAGAGAGAGGCGGAGGAGGGGGAAAAGGATGAGGATGAGGAACATGGTGATGATGATGATGATGATGATGATGATGACAATGATGTCAATGATGACAATGATGATGATGATGATGATGATGATGATGATGATGATGATGATGATGATGATGATGATGATGACAATGATGATGCCAATGATGATGATGATGCTGATGCTGATGATGATGATGCTGATGATGATGATGGTGATGATGATGCTGATGCTGATGCTGATGCTGATGATGATGATGTTGATGCTGATGAGGATGATAATGAGGATGAGGATGAGGATGAGGATGAGGATGAGGATGAGGATGAGGATGAGGATGATGACGACGACGATGATTATGATGATGATGATGATGATGATGATGATGATGATGATGATGATGATGAGGAGGAGGAGGAGGAGGAGGAGGAGGAGGAGGAGGACAGCCGCATGCAGTCCAGCAGCTGAGCCCTCTCACTCCCAGTCCCCGTGGCCGCCCCCCCGCCCATCCCAGCCCAACTACCCTATCCTCTCACGCCTCGTCCTTCGGCTGCGCCTGAGGGTGGTCCTTTGACGGAGTGACCTGGGTGCGGGCCCGCTTGGCCCCCCCCCCTCCTCGCTGGCCCGCCTGCTTGGATGTGCCCCCGCCCCCCCGTGGCCTCCCAAAGCCGCGCGCCGAAGGTCACTCTTGCCCGGTGTCGCCACCGAGTGTTGCCGATCTGTGCCTTTGCCCCCTTCCGTCCTGGTCTCAATTCCCGTCCCTTCATTTCCGCCCGCGCGTCCTTTCCTGCACCTCCACCCTCCATCTACTTCTGCCCGCAGGGTCCGTTCGGGGACGCCCTGCGTAAGCAACACCAGAGCAACGGAGCAGTCCATTCCTGGCTCCTTCGGCTTACCCCCCCGCCTGCCTCATCCATCTCTCCCTCAGTCCCCCTCCGCCGGCAGCTGATACCTCCAGTCTTCTTCCACCCTGCTCTACCCCCCGCGATGCCCGCCCCGCTCGTTATATGTTTTCTCCACTTACGCCTCCCTTCCCGTGCCCTTCCCCGTCACCTCCACTTGTGTTGCCCTTTCTCCTCGTTTTTATTCCCCTCCCCGCTCCGTGTCCTGTTCTGCCCGCTCGAGGCCCAGTTTTCTTGGCAGCAACGGCTCCACGTGGCGCTCGGCACTGCCAGCGGGCTGTCGCATATGATGAACAGCAAGCCCATGGCGCGTCCCCGCCGCTCGTCATTGCTTATGTGCATCCCCCTTCGTGGTGGTGTGCTTTATCGTGGTGGTCTTCGTGGTCGCAATTGTGGTGATCGTGGTGGTGGTGATTACCGTGATTGCACTGATTGTGGTCCTTCTCTTCATTATGACCTTTTTTGCTCGTCGTTCGTGTTCGTTCGTGCGGGTTTTGGGCGACTGCCGCTCAGCTACCATCTTGCCAGTGCGAGGAGGCGAAAACCACAGCAGCACTGGACGCGGTGCTTCGCCGCATGCATTTTTTTGTGGGGTGGGGCATCCTTTTATTTGGAGGGCATTGCCTTCTGCCGCTGCCCCCCCTCGGATTGCTGGCATGGCCGTGCTTGGTCGGTGGGTTTGTTGGTTTTCTTGCTGGTTGGCCGGCTGGCACATCGGCTGATTGGTCTGTTGCTTCAGTCGATTCTTGGGAGCTGATTTAGGCCGTTTGCTGGCTGGCTGGTCGGTTGCGCACGTGTGCAGCAGCTGAGGAGGGCTATGGTCTAGGATGCGTGGCTCCGGGTCCAGCTTTGGATTTTCAGGAAGGGGCATGGGAGCCGAGAGACGCCCCCTCGAACACATCCCACGGTGAGGGGTGGCGCTCTTGCGGGGGCCTCCGTGGGGTGGATTCGTGGCCTCGGGGGCGCGAATTTGAGTTGCTCGAATTTACCGGGGATAGTGGCTTCGGGAATGCGAGTTCGATATGATGTTCGCGGGGTTGTGGCCTCGGGAGCGCGAACACGTTGTAATTTACAAAGGGGGTGCGGCCTTGGGAGCGCGACTGCATGGTAAGTTGCAAGGTGTTGTTGCCGTGGGAGTGCCACCGCTCCTTACTTTATGAAAACATGCGGCCTCGGGAGCGCGAGCTCGTTGTAATTTAACAGGGGCTGCTGCTTCGGGAGCGCGGGCGCTGCACAAATTACAATGGAATGTGGCCTCGGGAGCGCGGATCCGTTGCAATCAAAACAATATGCTTCCTCAGGAGCTTGATTGCGCTGCTATAGACGGGATGTTAGCCAGCGTGGACCCCAAACAGTGATCTCTTACACAAATATATGCGGTGCAGCTTAGGTGGTGCAATCTAGGTGGTGCGGTATACGCGTTGTAACGCAACGCGAAGCAATGCAGCACACTACAAGTCAATGCAAAGCAATGCAAGTCAATACAACGAAATGAAAAGCAACGCACAGCAGCGCAGCGCAACGCAACACAATCCAGAGCAATGCTGGCACATCCACATCTGTGCAACACATTGCAACGCAATGCACATCGATGCATCTCATTTCAAAGCAATGCAAAACAACGCAACGCAGCGCAAATCAACGCAAAGCAGTGCAACGCAATGCACAGCAGCGCAATGCAATGCAAGGCAATGCAACTCAATGCGCGGCAATCCAGCGCACTGCGAAATATTGTTGTGCAGTGTAGAGCAATGCGAAGCAATGCCACGTAATGCAACGCAATACACCGCAAATCAATGTAACGTCAGGCACAACAACACGAATCAATGCACATCAATTCAAAGCAGTGCAACGCAACGCACCGCGAGCAATACAAATCCGTGCAGCTTGATGCAACCTAAGACAAAGCAAAACACATCAGTTTTTGGCAGTGCAAAGCAACGCACAGCAATGCAACACAACGCCATGCAAAGCCTCCAGACCGACGCCCAGGCCCAATTCTGTAGAACCGGAGTAAAAAAAGCAGTGCCAAGCAACGCAAAGCAATGGAACGCAATGCACTGCAACGCCAGGCAAAGTAAAGCAAAGCATTGCAACCCTTGCACTGCAAAGCAAGTCAATGTGAGACAATGCAAATCAATGCGACGTGGCGGCGACGGGGCGGCGGCGGCGACTACAAGGCAGCTGACCAGACGCGTAGGCCCAGACGACGGGCGGCGACGAGGCGGTGACGGGGCGGCGACGGCTGCCACATAGCCGCCAGACCGCCGCGCATGCCCAGACGACGGGCGGCGACGAGGCGGCGACGGGGTGGCGACGGCGGCCACATAGCCACCAGATCGCCGCGCAGGCCCAGTTCCTTATAGCAGAAGTAAAAACCCCGAAGTGCAAGCACCGTTTGGGGAAGTGTAGCATCGGGAGTGCGAGCGCGTTGTTTTTTCCCCCACATCCTAAGTGGGGTTCTTGTTTTCTCTGCACACCCTCCGCGCAGGATCTCTCGTCCTCCTCCCTCTCCTCTGCTCCTCTTTGCTTCCTCCTCCGCATCATCATCACCATCACCATCACTCCCCACTCATCATCATCATCATCATCATCAGCATCATCATCATCATCATCATCACCATCACCATCATCATCCACCATCATCATCATCATCGTCATCATCACCACCACCATCATCATCATCATCATCATCATCATCATCATCATCATCATCATCATCATCATCATCATCATCATCATCATCATCATCATCATCATCATCATCATCATCAATCATATATCATCATCAAACACCGTCGTCATCATCCCATCACCATCATCCACCAAGAGGGAGCCTCGTCTGTGAGTGAATTGTGAGGAAGTCTCAAGCGGGAGCCCCCTCCTTATAGGGCCCGCAGATCATGTTATTAATCTAAGCGGGTCATCGGATTCTTGTAACTGTCGTCACTTTTGGGCTCCTCAGGTCTGAATTTGGAGGAAGTATCAAGCGGGAGCCTCGTTTGTGAGTGAATTGCGAGGAAGTCTCAGGCGGGAGCCCCCTCCCTATGGGGCCCGCAGATCATCTTATCAATCCGAGCGGGTCATCGGATTCCTGTAATTGTCGTCACTTTTGGGCTCCTCAGGTCTGAATTTGGAGGAGGTATCAGGCGGGAGCCTCGTTTGTCAGTGAATTGCCAGCAAGTCTCAGGCGGGAGCCCCCTCCCTATGGGGCCCGCAGATCATGTTACTAATCCGAGCGGGTCATCGGATTCCTGTAACTGTCGTCACATTTGGGCTCCTCAGGTTTGAATTTGGAGGAAGTATCAGGCGGGACCCTCGTCTGTGAGTGAATTGTGAGGACGCGTCAGGCGGGAGCCCCCTCCCTATGGGGCCTGCAGATCACGCTATTAATCCGAGCGGGTCATCGGATTCCTTTAACTGTCGTCACTTTTGGGCTCTTCAGGCTTGAATTTGGAGGAAGTATCAAGCGGGAGCCTCGTCTGTGAGTGAATTGTGAGGAAGTCTCAGGCGGGAGCCCCCTCCCTATGGGGCCCGCAGATCATGTTATTAATCCGAGCGGGTCATCGGATTCTTTTAACTGTCGTCACTTTTGGGCTCCTCAGTTCTGAATTTGGAGGAAGTATCAAACGGGAGCCTCGTGTGTGAGTGAATTGTGGGGAAGTCTCAGGCGGGAGCTTCCTCCCTATGGGGCCCGCAGATCATGTTATTCATCCGAGCGGGTCATCGGATTCTTGTAACTGTCGTCACTTTTGGGATGCTCAGGTCTGAATTTGGAAGCGGGAACCTCGTCTGTGAGTGAATTGTGAGGAAGTCTCAAGCGGGAGCCCCCTCCTTATAGGGCCCGCAGATCATATTATTAATCTAATCGGGTCATCGGATTCTTGTAACTGTCGTCACTTTTGGGCTCCTCAGGTCTGAATTTGGAGGAAGTATCAGGCGGGAGCCTCGTTTGTCAGTGAATTGCCAGCAAGTCTCAGGCGGGAACCCCCTCCCTATGGGGCCCGCACATCATGTTATTAATCCGAGCGGGTCATCGGATTCCTGTAACTGTCGTCACTTTTGGGCTCCTCAGGTCTGAGTTTGGAAGAAGTATCAAGCGGGACCCTCGTCTGTGAGTGAATTGTGAGGACGCGTCAGGCGGGAGCCTTCCTATGGGTCCCGCAGCTGACGTGGTTCCTCCGGGTCATCCTCCGGCGCGCGCTTCCTCTGGGTCGTCCTCCGGCGCGTATCGGCTGGGACGCACGTCGTGCGCTTTCTCTGGGTCGTGTTCCGCACGAGGACGAGGAGGAGGAGGATTGCCAGGAAAAGGAGGAGGGATGATGCAGGACGAGACAGGAAAGCAGGAAGAGGAAGAGGCTGAGGGGAGGAAAACCGAGGAGGAAAAGGAGGAGGAGGAATGCCCGAGGAGGCCCCAGCCGGAAGGCCCAGAAGGCTCCAGGAGGCCCCAAGAGGCCCCAGGAGGCCCCAGGAGGGGGCAGGAGGCCTAAGGAGGAGGCAGGAGGAGGAGAAGGAGGAGGAGGAGGAGGGGGGGGAGGAGGGGGGAGGAATATGGAAACGAGGAGGAGGAGGAAACGGATGAGGGAGAGGGAGAGGAGGAGGACAGGGGAGGAGGAGGAGGAGGAGGAGGAGGAGGAGGAGGAGAAGGAAGAGGGAGAGCAGGAGGAGGAGGCAGGAGGCAGGAGGGGCAGGGGGAATGGGTGGGAAAGCATAGCGAGGGGGAGGGGGAGGAGGTGGAGGAGGCAAGAAGAGGAGGAAGAGGCAGGGGTTGAGGCAGGAGGAGGAGCAGACAGGAGGAGAACGAGGAGGCAAGAGTAGGTGGCAGAAGGCAAGGGGCAGGAGGGTCCTCCATGCAAGCTAAAGAGATTATCATGCGGGGTCCTTCCGTCGGAGTAATTGTAAATTGTGACCTTGGGGACGCGGACGTGGGGGCAGTTTACTAAGGATTGTGGCTTCAGGACTGCGGACGCGCAGTGGTTTATGACAGATTAGGGTTTCGGGAGTGCGAGCGCGTTGTGACTTACGATGGGCTGTGGCCTCGGGGGCGTGAACGCGCCATAACTTTCTACGGCTTGTGGCCTCGGGGGCCAGAGCGTGACGTAACTTACGACAGATTGCGGCCTCGGGAGCGCGAGTGTTATAGAATGTGCAGAGGGATGTGGCTTCGGGAGCGCGAACGTGTTTACAAGGGGTGGCGGCTCTGGGTCGCAAGCGTGTTGTAGGGTTGCGGCCTCGGCAGCGCGAGCCCGTAGGGACTTAATAGGGAAAGTTGGGCATCGGGGGCGCGAATTCGTTGTAATGTATAGAGGGTTGTTGGCTCGGAGCGCGGGCCCGTCGTAATTCACAATTGATCCTGGCCTCGGGAGCGCGAATCCTTGTGTTTTCACATGTCCCAGGGCACCCCGAGGATTTTGGGCAGTGTGATTCCGGGAGGAGAACGGGGGGGTCGGGTTGGGGTCTTCGCGAGGTTTTTAATCCTTCCAAATCGGAGCCAGAAGCTAACAGCTTTAACAGGGAGCTGGAAACAGAAAGGCAGCAACTTTACTTGGGAGCTGGAACGACTTTCACACTGGAACTTGGTGCAGGGAGCAGGGGCACATACGCCTCGCAGCCTGTTGGCCCCCAAGGGTGCCAGCGGACCTTCACGATCTCATATCATATAGCAATGCCAACACCGTCAGTTGACCTAGCATAGCTTGAGCCCCGTATTCATATTTTATCCACCGCGGCGGGCGTTGGCATTTCAGCGCTTGCTTCGCGGAGGCCCGTCCGACACTACGGTTCTGGATAGGAAGGTCAGCGGATTGTTGGATGATCCAGCTGCCTGCGGCAAGTCCCGCCACCGTGCCCGCCCAGCATGCTCGGCGACTCTCCCTCGAGGGAGCGGTGGAGGCCGTCCTTGCAAAGGATGAACATCATGATAGTGATGATACTGTGATGTTAATGCTCATGCTGATGCTGCTGCTGATGATGCGTTGCTGATGGTGATGTGCGCGAAACGAGGTGCGGCCCGGAGAGGGGGGGGGGCCCTTAGAAGATTTCATGAGCCCTACCAGGCAGCACTTGGCATTCTAGCACGCCGCAACGTGCCAAGGGGCACGGTGGCAGATTGTTAGAATGTGCAGAGTGCAAAATGTGTGCGATGTTGGACTTCACACACTGCTAGATATTACGCGTATGTCTTGGCCAATGGATGTTGTGCAAGTTACGTGATGCAAGCTACGTGGTGCAGTATAGTTGGTTCAATATTTGCGGTGCAATACGTGTGGTATAAGCTTTGCGGTTCAGAACACATGGTGTAAGCGACGTGGTACAATCGATGTGGTGAATTCCATGTGGTGCAAGCTGTGCGTTGCAAACTAGATGCTGCGTTCTGCATCTGGTGCAGCACATGGGGTCCAACGTCTGAGCTGCAAGCCGGACGGCGCAAGCTGTGTGATGCGGGGTACATGATGCCGTCTGCGTGGTGCAGGCCCCGTGGTGCCGCCTCACGGTGCTACCTCAGATGCATTGCTTCTCTCAGGATCACGGCTAAAAGTACGGTGGCTGCGCGAGGCGGCTAACGGGGCGCCTCCGAGGCGCCCAGCGCACGGGGCGCCCCCGAGGCGGTCATGGCTGGCGACCAGGACAGCCCCCCCTCCTCCTCCTCGTCCTTCTCCTCCTCCTCCTCCTCCTCCTCCTCCTCCTGTTCCTCCCCCTCCTTCCTCCTTCTCTTCCTCCCCCTCCTCCTGGACAGACCCCTTCTCCTCCTCCTCCTCCTCCTCTTTTCCTCCTTCTGCTCCATTTCCTGATCCCCCCCCCCCCTCACTCTCCCCAAAGTGTTCCCTTCAAGGTTTCCACACCCATCCAATAAAGTAACCATGGCAAGAACCTCTCAGCGGAAGCATTGCTTGTGGATTGTACATGAGCGTTCAAGACGTCACACAACACGCATCACACGAAACAGCGCAGCGGAGTATCCAACTCACGACACTCAGCGCGCAGCACAACCCGCACACGGTACACAATACACCGCACGCAGCACGACACACAGCACACAACACAGGACACACAACACACACTACACACAAACGCACACACACACACGCACGCACGCACGCACGCACGCACGCACGCACACACGCACACACACACAAACACACAAACCCACAAACACACAGCCACACACACACACGCGCGCACGCAAGCAAGCACGCACGCACGCAAGCACGCACGCACGACACGCACGCACGACACGCACGCACGCACGAACGACACGCTGTAAGCAACGCGCAGTGCACAGCATAAATCAAATACGTTCATGCTAGAATGCCGAAGTCAGTTGAACAGCTTCTCTGCCACCACGCCGTGGGTAATGGGCCACGTGGCGAACCTAAAGAAGTGGCTAGATTCGCTAAGACTGCTGGGTCCACGAAGGCCCTCCTCTGGGCCGAGCCCGCTTTGGGGATGCCCGCCTGGTCGCTCCGCATTGCTACACCCAGGGCCCAGGGGCTGAGCACGGTGGAGGCATGCTCCTTCTCAGCGCCAAGGGTCCTTGGTCTTTGATCGCCCCCTCGACACCTTACCTTGCTCCTCCTTCCCTTCCCTTCCCTTCTCCTCTTCTCTTGTTTTCTCTTCTCTTCTCTTCTGTGTGTTTGTCTTCTCTTATTTGTTTCTATCCGTAAGAGCTTCGCCCCCTGCCGCCGCTCCCCTCTATCGGTTAATGGGCAATGCATGAGCGAAATCATGAGGCCTTGGCGCCGCCGTGAAGCAGCGTCAGGACTTCACGCGAAGACGATGAGTAATCGGCAAGACAAAATGAGATTATGATTCATGATGATATGGTTGAATTCGGTGTTGTATTTCTAGGGTTTATGGCTTCGGATGCGCGAATAGCGCTTACGGCTTCGGGGTCGCAAATGTAGTGTAATGTATGAGGTGTATGGTTTCGGAGACGCGACTATAGTATAATTTACTAGGTTTATGGCTTCGGACACGCCATCATTGCGTAACGTACAAAGGTGTATGGCTTCGGGGTCGCAAATCTTGTGCCATTTACGCAGGTGTATGGTTTCGGAGACGCTGATCTTGTGTAATGTAGAAGGGTTTATGGCTTCGGGGACGCGAATATCGCGTGATTGACAAGCGTTTGTTGCCTCGGGGACACAAGTATTGCGCAATGTACACAGGTTTATTGCTTCGGGAACACGAACATGGCGTATTTTGCGATGGGTTATAGCTTCGGGGACGCGAATATTGTATAATTCACTAGGGTGTATGGCCTCGGGGACGCGAATCTTGTGTAATTTACGAGGGTTTATGGCCTCGGGGCGCGAATTTCATGTATTTGTATATGTCACACCCCCCCTCCCAGGAATTCAGCGCACGCGATTCTGGCGTGGTAACTAGGTTCCTTCTCGGCTCCCCTCCCTCGCGCGGGCAGTAACAATTTGCAGTAGAAAGCAGAAAGCAAACCTGTAACAGTGGAAACTGGAACCTGCAACTGGCGCAGGGAGCAGCAAACACTAGTCCTACAGACTGGTGGCCCCACAAGGGGGGCGGCGGATTATCTTCTCTTCTCTTCTCTACCGTTCTTTTTTTGCCGAATGTTTGCTTGCCAGTGGCAGGCTGCGTTGTTGCCCCCCGACCTGCCCAGGCATTCCACCGCGACATCAAGCCGGCCAGCTCGACGAGCGTGCGTGCGTGCGCGGTTGTGCAGCAGCGCTCTCCGATTGCAGTGTACAGTGGAGGCCCGTGCCAAGAGACACCCTGCTCGCCTCCAGGGTGCCCTGGGTTTTCTTGGATTTCGATGGGTTTTGTTATGGAAAGCGTGACGCTTCCACACCAACAATCAGAAGTCTTTGGGTCTCAGGGTTGGGTGTCTTGTGGAAGGTTTCTTGTGGACGGGCCCCTACTGTACGCTTCTGGTTGCCATTTGCATGATAGACGTGTTTTCGGCTCCTCTCTGGCAATGCGCCGTCCCACTGTTTCTCTCCCTCACGGCAGATTCACTCGAGTTTTCTGGGAGTTGGGCAGGTGTAGCTTTCAAGGTTATGGCTTAGCTGGGGTCGCAGTGTTGCAGGTGACTGCGTGAGTCTTGCACGGCTCTGTCGTCCGTCGCGAGCGCGCGTCGTCGTCGTCGTCGTCCTCATCTGCCTCTGTGTTGCACTGCTCTCTGCTCTTCTGGCATGGTGGGTAGCCGCGGCCCCCTGGCTGCCCCTCCCAGGTCTTCCCCCCCCATCCTTCCTTGGCTGCTTCTGTTGGAGCGCTTCCCTCTGCGACACAGATCTGACCTCGACGTCCACCGCCGCCGCGCACCTTTCTCTCCGGGGGGGCGGCAGGGCATCGCGAAGGGCCCGCGTTCTCCCAGGGGAGGGGCGGCAGGGCAGCACGAGGGACCAGCGTGAAGCAGCTGCTGCGGTCATTCCCGAGCGCATGCACGCTCGCGAAGGCAGAGGCACGTCGCGTGAGGTTCGCTCTCTCTCTCTCTCTCTCTCTCTCTCTCCCTCTGCGGCCGTGGTGCCCGTCAGCGCAGCCGTCAGCGAGAAGCGGGGGTGAAGCGGGGGAGAAGCGGGGGCGGTGCGCCCGCAGGCCAACATTCTCTTGGACACGGACGGGTCTGCCAAGGCATCACGCGGCTGCGTGCCAGCGCTCGGGTTGCAGCGAGGGGGAGGACGAGGAGCAGGCGGAGAAAGTGAGAGGGGGCGCAGGTATCAGAAAACAGAAAGGAGGAAGGTGCAATGATCGAGTAGGAAGTGAGGAGGAAGAGAGGAGGTGAAGGAGGAGGAGGAGGAGGAGGCAGGGAGCAAGGTTCAGGGATGAGGAGGATGGAGGAGAAGGGATGACGAGAAGGGAGAGAGGGAGGTAGAGAGGAAGGAGAGAGGGAGGGAGGGTGGGAGTGAGGGAGAAAGTTGTTTGTTTTTGTGTTTTACGCCAGCCACGTTTCACCATGGACCAGTACTCCGCCGCTTTGGCGAGAGGCCGTCCACGGAGCCCTTAGATTGTCCAAGGAGCCCTTAGATTGTCCAAGGGCGCTGACATGTTTGCAACTCATGCGAATGATGAAGGTCTGGTCGTCAGCCCACCCCAGAGCGAGACGAGAGTGGCCCCGAGCAGACACAGAACCAGCAACAGGAGGCAGGCCTGCCGCACATCCCACGCTCGGGGGCTGAGAGCCCTGCCTGTGAACTCGGAGACACCCGCTGCACTTCGGAAGAGTCTGACGCCGCTTCCACTCGTGCACTCCAGCTGGGGCTTCGCCCCCGGCCCTGGCGGGGTGGGGCGGAGCAACGAATGGCACGTCATTGAGGTCTAGCCGAGGCCAAGACGGGAGGAGCTTGGCAGCAAGACGGGACACGTTGCGAGAAACTTTTGCTTGCCAATCTAGCCCGAAGTCGGGCGTGTCCCCCTACAGGAAGAAGGATTCAACAATGATCAAATAATAGTCTGGGGACGATGTTTCGATTATTGCTTGATTGCACTTGAACATGTTTTGAATACTTGTTATTTTTCGTCCAATATCCGCTTGTAGGAGGAAATGCCCGACCTAAATCTAGCCGGCTCGGCACTCGATGGCTGGGGAGGGCTTTGTGGCCCCCAGCTTGGTTGAGCGGTCAGCCTCGTCTTTCCCTACTTTGGGGAAGCGCTCCTCTGGGGAAAGGTTCGCGGACTCGGCCACGTGGGACTTGATATTTATCAAATCAGAAGCATGGGACCCCATGGCATTGATCACGAGGCCAGCGTAGGGCTGATTGTGCGACAGTTTATTGAACGGTCGAGCTTGAAGGATTTACAAACATCGATACAATCAGAGTACTCTGCAGCTGGGGCCGTTGAACAGAGGCTAGACCGAGTACGAGCTCCACGTTTCGAGGTCTGGGAGGTTTGGGGACATCTGTCCCAAAGGGGGCACCGCATACCAAGCTTGAGCTTTTGTTGGGAGTCGTATGTTGCTGGACCACACCCTGCCCTGCTTAATCAATTAATCACATGCTTCTGGCAGGACCCGTCCATTAACTCCGTTGCCCCCGAGAACAGTTGCTCATCGCCAATTTCAGGAGGACCTTCACAGAGAACCTCGGAGACAGCCCCAGGACCAGGACGGGGATGCGAGTCTCCAGAATGGGGACATCCACAGGCCTTTGGTGAACAAGATCCAGTCTCCCATGGAGCAGGAGGCCAGGTCGATCATGCCGGACGCCCTGAATACGTCCTCGTGACAGAGTTCCTCTCTGAGCTCCGCGACCCTTCCCCTTGGCATACCCGAAGCCAGTGGAAAACCGAATCCGAGGGACCAAACACACAGCGGACATCTGATTCCACCCACCTGGTAGTCACACTGGGACGCACGTTCTTGGGTCCAGAACGTTCCGCACACATTGGCCCTGATCGAGCCTTTCTCGAACGATGTGTATTTAGATCTGCGGAGGTCGCAGAGTACAGAATCGTAGCAACCCTGCCAGGCGTCCCTGAGGACGGCGAAACCTAGGGCGAAGGGCGTCTGCTGGACCTGGGCGTCCCTGTGCTCCCTGGCTTGACGGGCCAATCGTCGAGATCGCAGAGTGATCATGGCCCCCTTCCAGAATACAAGGCGACGTCACCGATCTGGATCCTGCGGATGGTTTCTTTGCTTTCCCGAGCCCAGACCTCAGCAGCCGAAGTTTTATGGTGCCAATATCGCAGAGCGGATTTCATTCGGAAAAGAATTCAATGGGCCCAGACTGTCCTGGATATTTTCGTTCCGGATATCGAGGTGAATTTCGTGCGGTTTTTTGGGGGCAGGAATGAAGACCAAAATGAATCCACGCGAAATTCACTTCGTTTTTCACTCGCCGTTTCGAGGTTTTGCATTGAAAGAATCCACGCAGAAATCCGCTGCAGCACGTCTGCAAGGCCGGTGCAATGACAAGTTCGTAATCTGATAGCCCATATTTTCCGGAACCGTAGTGCACCAACGCCAGGGGGCCAGGCACAAAGATGTTGCGGGCATGACGCCCGAGTGCTTGCCGAGCTCTGACGACCCGCCAAGACCGACACGCCTGTTCCAGAACTCGAAGCCCCAGAATCGTCGATTTCTGCATCCAGGGAGACCTGGGGGAGCTCGGGGAGGTCCATGGAAAAGATCATGCACACCCCGACGGAAGACGCCGCGAACCCGCAGTCTGCCACCACCCCGTGGGTGGCAACTTGGGGCCCGTGCGGGCGCCCTCCCATCGAAACAGATCGAGCCCCTCGGTGGGTGTTCTCGCATAGACAGGGAGTCTGCATTGGGAATTCCAGAGCCTTGCACCTGTCCAAGCGCTTGGGAAGCCGAATCGTTTCGTAAAGCTTGCGCAGGTCCCAAGAATCTTGCAGGCACACTGGCCCCTCCCAACACTATGTTCACTCCTAGCTGCCTACCTTTACACAACATCCGATGGCGAGTAGACAGACCCCGCTGCAATATGCTGACGCTGATTGTCGGCGTCCTAACGCACCGCTTGCGGCCGATGCAGAGCGGGGATGCAGAGCGGGGAAGAAGCCGATGGGGCGGTAGCCGCCCGCTGGCGTTTGCAACGTTCCCGTCATCAGCACCTGAGTGGGGTGAGGCAGCAGACTAGGGCACCCCATGGTGAAAAGAGTGCTGACGGCGGTCAGCAGGTCTGCGCGCGTCAGTGCGATGTGACGCATATGGAAACCATCCACACTCGACGCCGCGCCTACAGCATAGAGCGAAGGAATAGCAGGGAGAGGAGGGGGAGGAGGAAAATGAGGAGGAGGAGGAGGCCCCGAGCAATGAAAGGCGCGGCCGAATTCACGGACGCTCTCCAGCAGGAGACGACAGCAGTTGTGGAGCAGCCACGAAGGCCAGGCTGCCGAGCACTGTTCGTGCACTTGCACTAGCACCCGACACGCTTGACAATTCAAGAGCCGAAGCCGATGCAAGTGCGCATCACGCGTGCAAGGGCTTACCTGAACGTGGGTGCAATGCGCGTGTGATGCGAGAGACGGCCTGCTCTGCGTTCGCGCGCGTGCTGGCAACCTCAGAGTGACCTCTGCACTCATTCAGCAATCTGGGTCCTCCCCCTGACGCATGGAATGTGCGCCGCCGGGCAGGCGTGCAACCGTGCTCTCGAAGCGCACCATGACATGCTTGCGTTCTCGGTGGACAAGAAATTATCCGTCCTCTCCCGACTCGGCAGCGGCGGCGGCAGCCTCCTTTTTCTCCTCCCCCCCCATGGGCGGGCGCGCGCCCTCGACCAGCGGCGCGTTCTTCCCGCGGGGGGGGGGCCTCCGCTGAGTAGCTCTCTGAGTAGCTCTCTTCCCTCGACCAGCGGCTCTGGGGGCTCTGGTTTGGCGAAGTAGTCGGCCCGCCCCGTTTCCGACGTAAGCGCGACAATCTTCAGCCCGATCGATCGCAACGCTGTCGGGGCGGCGAGCATTTGCCCAGCGGAACTTGTGAGGGACTTCTGAGGGAGAGCACAGACTACGCAACTGACGCCAGAGACTAGCGTGAAACGCTCGCGCCGATTCGCAATCGGGCGACCAACCTTCGTGCCCTGACGAGATCCAGGTGGCCGGTTACTATTTCCGCTGGGTGCGCTGCAGCCCGGAGCGCCCCAGTGACAGCCCAACGCTGGGGCCGTGGCACAGACTGGATTCGACCTGGCAGCGGCCCGAGCAGGGCTCGGCCAGGCAGTCGAGCTCGGCAGCTGACCAGCCGCATCGGGCTTGTCCTGGAACCGATCTGGCACGGCCCGCTCTATCAGTGCACGCGCGCCGCACCGCCCCCCGCGCCAATCCCCCCAGCCCATTTCGCGCGGAGACTCTGCCACTTGCTCGGGCGAAGGCGGCACGGGCGGAAGCCCATTGTTAAAAACATGTAATCGCGACCATGAACACAATCATATTCACTGTCTAATGTGGCTTCAGATGCAGACCACCGGTGCCCTTCGGTGCCTATCTCGCGCTTGCAAACGAAACGCCGCCTGGATCGAGTGGAGCCCAGTGGGAGTTCAGGCCCCCGCGACCCACTGCGCGCGCAAGGCCCCTCTCAATCCAGCACCCTTGATCGAAAGAACGGCATGGCGCATGGCCCTTTTCCAGCAAGAACTTGTCGGGGAAATGGGCCAAACAAACTGCGGCTGGCCTGAAAATTCTTGATTCCATCCACCAGTGGCGACAACCAAACCGAGGCAATCGGCCCTCTGGCCCCTGCCCAGGAGGTCCTCTGCTGGAAACGCTTCTGAATGCTAAGCCGCGCTCTGCGTGGGCGACTCGGCCCCTCGCGGGAATCCCGAACGAACGACGCGAACCGAACGACGAGAGAAATCGCGGCGTGGAACAGCGGATCGAAACGATCGTCTCTCTGCACGGCTAAAAAACGGTTAAGCATTCGCGGGGGGCGCGCTCCTGCCACGCCGCCAGCAAGCGCTCCAAATTCTCGGGTCGCACCGCCCGAGACCCCCGAGGCCTCGGCCCCGTGGCCGGCAGCTGGGAGGGGCCCCGTTCTCCAGAGGTTTTGGGAGGCTTCTGGCGTGGCCAAGCGGAGGTATCCTGCCTTCTTGCGCTTGGCCTGCAGCTCTCGAAGTCGCGCCCTCTCCCGTGCCGCAAGCACCCAATGACCATGCATCTCGAGACCGAGATTG